GAAAAATCTCCCCAAAAAAAAAAAAAAAGAAAAGAAAAGAAAGATATACAAGTCTGTAGCATTTTTGTACCTTAACAGTGAGTGAACTGAGGCAGAAATGAAGAAATTAATTCTATTTACAATATCTATAAAAAATAAAATACCTAGGAATAAATATAACCAAAGAAGTAAAAGATCTTTACCATGAAAATTATATAAAAAATGAATAAAAGTAGTGAAAAAGCCACAAAAATGTAGCAATATCCCTTGTTCATGGATTGGAAGAATCAACATAGTTAAAATGTCAGTACTGGAGGCCAGCAGGTCACACGGTGGTTAAGGCACTGGACTCCCACGTGACCAATCATGGTTTGAGTTCCAGACCTGACAGCTTGCTTTCTCACTTCTCTTTCTCTGTCACACGCAGGGCCTATAGCAAATTTAAACAATGATATTATAATAACACTAGTAAATGAAATTTTAAAAATAAATAAGAGAAAATGTCAATACTAGCCAAAGTTATCTACAAATTTAATGCAATTCCTATTAAAATTTCAGTGACACTTTTCATAGAAATAAAAACAAATGACCAGTTGCTCCAGCGTCTGGGTGCTGCTGCGGCAGGGGGGGGGGGGGCTTCACCAAGATGCCTGAGGAGACCCAGACCCAAGACCAGTCCATGGAGGAGGAAGAGGTCGAGATGTTTGCCTTCCAGGCAGAAATTGCCCAGTTGATGTCATTAATCATCAACACTTTCTATTCCAACAAAGAGATCTTCCTGAGGGAGCTTATTTTGAATTCATCTGATGCACTGAACAAAATCAGATACGAAAGCTTGACAGAACCCAGTAAATTAGATTCCGGGAAGGAGCTGCACATTAATCTCATTCCAAACAAACAAGATCGAACCCTCACTATAGTGGATACTGGAATTGGAATGACCAAGGCCGACTTGGTTAATAATCTTGGCACCATCGCCAAGTCAGGGACCAAAGCTTTCATGGAAGCTTTGCAGTCTGGTGCAGATATCTCTATGATTGGCCAGTTTGGCGTTGGTTTCTATTCTGCCTATCTGGTTGCTGAGAAAGTGACTGTGATCACCACCAAACATGATGATGATGAGCAGTACGCCTGGGAGTCATCTGCAGGGGGCTCCTTCACTGTTAGGACTGACACAGGTGAACCCATGGGTCGTGGGACAAAGGTTATCCTGCATCTGAAAGAAGACCAGACTGAGTACTTAGAGGAAAGAAGAATAAAGGAGATTGTGAAGAAACATTCTCAGTTTATTGGCTATCCCATTACTCTTTTTGTGGAGAAGGAGCGTGATAAAGAAGTCAGTGATGATGAAGCTGAAGAAAAGGAAGAGAAAGAAGAGGAGAAACTGGCAGAAGATAAAGAGAACTACAAAAAGTTCTATGAGCAGTTCTCTAAAAATATAAAGGTTAGTGTAGACACATTTGCTCATTATCAGTTTTCTCACTACCTTTACTGTAGATTATTTAGTGTCAATTACAGAAAAGATTTTTCTAAAACTGATGTTGTATTTCAGCTTGGAATTCATGAAGACTCTCAAAATCGTAAGAAACTTTCAGAGTTGTTAAGGTATTACACATCTGCTTCTGGTGATGAGATGGTATCCCTGAAGGATTATTGCACCAGAATGAAGGAAAACCAGAAGCATATCTATTATATCACAGGTAATGGACTGTTAAGATTATAATTGTTCATATTACCTCTTATGGCATATGTTTTACTCCAGTGGTACTATGTATAAATTAGTGTAATTGGTGTTGATTTAGGCAAGGTAGATGAAAATGGGTTATATCTGTGTGCTTAGGTTATGTTTAAATACCTGAATAATACTATCAGAAGTCAAAAACAGGCAAAGCACTTAACTAAAGGCCTGAAAGTAACTTCATTGCATTGAATCTCAGGTGAGACCAAGGACCAGGTAGCTAATTCGGCCTTCGTAGAACGTCTTCGGAAGCACGGCTTAGAAGTGATCTATATGATTGAGCCTATCGATGAGTACTGTGTCCAACAGCTGAAGGAATTTGAGGGGAAGACTTTAGTGTCAGTCACCAAAGAGGGTCTAGAACTTCCAGAAGATGAAGAAGAGAAAAAGAAACAGGAAGAGAAAAAAACAAAGTTTGAAAATCTTTGCAAAATCATGAAAGATATCTTGGAGAAAAAAGTGGAGAAGGAGGTAGTTGTCTCAAACCGGTTGGTAACATCCCCATGCTGCATTGTCACAAGCACATATGGCTGGACAGCAAATAGAGAGAGCTGTGAAAGCTCAAGCCTTAAGAGACAACTCCACAATGGGTTACATGGCTGCCAAGAAGCACCTAGAGATCAATCCTGATCATTCCATCATTGAGACCTTAAGGCAAAAGGCAGAGGCTGACAAGAACGACAAGTCTGTGAAGGATTTGGTCATCTTGCTTTATGAAACCGCACTCCTGTCTTCTGGGTTTAGTCTGGGAGATCCCCAGACACATGCTAACAGAATCTACAGGATGATCAAACTTGGTCTGGGTATTGATGAAGATGACCCTACTGCTGAGGATACCAGTGCTGCTATGGCTGAAGAAATACCACCCCTCGAAGGAGATGATGACACGTCATGCATGGAAGAAGTAGATTAAGCTCTGCCTGAAGAGTGACTTACATATGTGTTCAATACTTAATCTTCATTCCCTCTGATAATATACATATATTTTCAAGAATTGTTTTTCTTTATTTTTGGTTAATACTTTAAACATCTGTAAGGCATGACAGTAACTATGGAAGGGGAAGATAAGATTTCTTTTTACTTCTAAGTGTGATACTGTGATACTTTAAGCACTAAAGCAGAGCTAGTAATGATTTTCTAGTTTCACATCAGCCTGTTTTAACAGATCAAGGTAATGTTTGTTGTAAGATGTATGTAGCCTAATGTTAACTTTGTGGTCTAAAGAAGTGTTTAGCTGTCCAAGCCAGATTTCTTAGTAGACCAAATCTTTTGTTGTTGAAGTGTTCTGAGATACCTTGATGTTTGAAAGAATTATTTGTTAAAATGCTTTTCAGTTTCATCTCCTGAGATCTACTTTTTAACTTCCCATACCCTGTAGTTACCAATTCTGCATGTATTAGTCTTAGTCCTTTAGAAATAGGTTAAGCTGAAGCAGCTTGAGGGAGGAACTCTCCAACAGGGCTTGTTTTCCAAAGAAAAATGTTTAGAGAAACATAATTATAATCCAACTTGAGTATGTTGAAAGCCGTGGGAAAAGTAACTCAATAAGGCTTCTGAATGGAAGTGTGCCCAAATCATACTCTGCTTAAAGAGGTGGTAACAAATACAGATGAGTTAAAGAAAAAAAAAGAAATAAAAACAAATGATAATAAGAATTTGTTTGAAATCACAAAAGATCTCATATCACAAAAGCAATACTGTACAAACAATAGCAAAGTTGGAAGAACCTTACTACCTTATTTCAAAACATATTAAAAAGCCATAATAACAAAACAGTTGTGTTATTGGCACAAAAACAGACACATAGACCAACAGAACAGAAACAAGAATCCAAAATAATCCCAAAAACATGCAAGCAACTGATTTTCGACAAAAGTCACAAGACAATCCAATGGAAAAAGGTAGTCTTTTCAACAAATGGTGCTAGGAAAGCTGAATATCCACTTGCAGAAAAATGAAACTAGAGTTTCATCTCTCACCATTTACAAAAATTAACTCAAAAACAGATTAGACGTAAACATATAAAAAGTCCCCAAACCATAAAACTATTGGAGGAAAACAATGGACAGAGACTTCAAGATATTGGAATAGGCAAAGGTTTCTTGAAAAAGACTCCTAAAGGAAGGGTAGTAAAACAAAAAG